ATGTGACGTGGTGTTGCCACTTGGTTGATGTCGTGTTTGCATGTGGGTTGGTGTGTGTGTGGTTTTCCAGGACACTAGATACATTCCTTTTTGAGCATACAACAGTTAACTGCGCATATAAAAAGAAAAACGCAAACTAATTTTTTAACAACTACAAATGAGCAAAAAAAATCTTTCAAAGAGAATCTGTAACAACGCGTACAATATGTAGGAACGCAAGAGTAATGGAAGACCATCATGGATGAGTGACGTGCAGAAATAACCATTTGCAAATCCTGCTTTGGAACAAATTAAAAACACATTTATACTGGTTAAGGAATTGTAATCTCTGAGGCAATATTAAGAGCAACAAGAGGAAAAGAATAAATGAGAACAAAATTCCACAAAAGGTATTTGATATAGACGAAAGTAAACAATTTTTTAACTTTAGTCTCAGACATATTTACATACATAAGTATGTACACGAATAGGCAATGCACCACAAGCAAAAAGATGCGTACGATTTCGCTTGAGATACTTATACATTTATACATGTATTTACATATGAACATACATATGTATAGTTTAACATTGTATGAAGGAAATTGTTGCTGCTTAACGCAAGGGACAAGTGTGGAAAAAATTACGTAATGAATATGCTTTCACACTCACCAGTTAATTCGCGTTGGGTAGTTAACTCTCGATTTTCAGTACAAGTCACTAAGAAGTCCTTCTTAGAACAAAACTATCCTCATAAAATTTTCTTTTACGATAACTAAATTGCAACAAAATTTGTAGTACCGTACTTGAATCTGCCATGAGGAATTAGAATTACTTAGAACGTTTTACCAAACGAGTGCTAGTTGCTTGAAACATTCATATTAGTAAAAAATGGATTAAGTTCTAAACATTTTCGTGAGATGATTTTCTAACACTTTAGACGCGCGTTAAACCAACCAACAGCAGCTTGCCGAACAAGACACTTCGAGTTTTGGTCACTGGTATGCTGAATTCAATTGCTGACGCAATTCGTGAAGGTCGTCTAAAATCGGCTGCTGTGCCTGAAAACATCGTATGTGTGAACTGATATTGCAATATCATCACATAACATTTCATGAAAACGAAGATGCATGGATATTAATTACATTCGCAAGCATATAATATTGCTTGAACATTTGGCCGACAAAACGATTTGTTCGCATCGTATACCTCATAATTTAACAATCGCAGAAAGGAAGCTCATGTCGATTGGTGCAAAGAAATGTTCTGAGACATTCAGTCGCAGTCGACGAATAATGCGTCTACGCATATTAAACTGAAAATAAACAACATTCGCCTGCCAATTCTAAATGGTATACCATCATTTGTTTGCTAGCAGTGTACGGAAAAATAAGGGAAACCAATCGCGGAAGAGAAATCATTATCCACCACGGAAATGCAGGATCTTACACATCAGCTCCAACAAAAATATTTCTGAGCATTAAAAACATGGAATTGATGTGTCAATCGCGGTACAGTCTTACTTTGGCATCCAATGCTTTCATCAAGTTTTCAAAATAAATTTTTAAGTCAACGTTTTTCAACGCCTGAGTAAGCGGTTTTTAATATGATTCAGAATTCGAAAGATTGACAAGAAAAACAGATATTATTTTTTAAGGGTTTTAAATTTTCGCTGCCTTTAGTAAATTTAATCAAAACCCCCAAATTTGAACATTTGAATCAAATACACGTGGTTGAAATATAAAATATTTTTAGAGCAGTTTAAAGGCATTTTTTAGACTTTTCTTTTTTAATTTGTATCAAATTGGTAAATGAGGTGAAGATTTAGTAGTCACACTGAAGTCATCAATCAATTACTTTAAATTAATTATTGATCACACCATCGATTCTTGAATCGATGTAGGACGTAGAGAGGCAGAGACCTCCGAAATAACAGCTATAACTTCTACCGCTTTTTCCTTTTTTTCCTAAGAGCAATGGTGGTTAAAAATCAATAACCTTGGTGAAATAAATATTATGGAACAATTTCAAAACATTTGAACCCCAAAGTAGGAATTTAACCTGGTACCATATTTGAACCCCAAAGTAGGAATTTAACCTGGTACCATATCTATACCCACATTGCGTTCCAGTTGAACTCCGATGAAAGCGATAATTGGAACTCCATACTGGATACTGGAACTCCATAATAGAGATGCCGTTTTTCATCGATTAAAACGAAGATCGATTAGTCGAGCCGTTTCCATTCGATTTTTTGTCGATTTATTAGTTCCGATTCGCGGCGATCCAAAAAATACGAGAATCGACATTCAATTATTCATCAATTGATGCATATTTATCTACGGTTTGACTGAGAAAATATATAAGATTTTTAAGAAAGTTGAATTTGGCTTGGCAAATCCCACATTTCGAAATTGAGAAGGCAAAGCCCAAAAAATTCAATGACCTGCTTCCCTTTCTTCTCCGACTGCAGGTTTCATCAGGGAAACCCCATATAAAATTATGGGAAATGATACAACAATAAAAACTCCAAAAGTTGGAGTTTCAAACTTTGTGCATATTTTCGTTAAAACTTTGTACCCTAATTAACTTCTTTAAAAAAGTAGTATGCCGTTCTATAGCCTATTAATTTTAGATGCGAGATTAAATATGTCAGGACTTAGCTCTGATTTTTGGTGATTTTTATTTCTTCACGCAAAGATAATTTTTTACTATTGTGTGAAAAAAATTAAAATCTTGAGAAAAATTTACCGTTTCCTTAAGTAAGGCTAAGAATTTTTGAAACTTTTAGTCAATGCTCATATCGTTGGCCTACTATAAAAAAACCTTATCTTCCAGGTTTTTTTTTTTTAATTACTTATGGATTGTTAGCTTTTGGATATTGAAACCGTTATGAACAATGTGAATTTTAACTAGAGCTTAAGACTATCGATGGTACTGTCGATAGAATCGAATGGTTCTATTCTGTCGATAGAATCGAATGGTTCTATTTTCTTGCACTATCGAATGGTTATTGGACACTATCGATAGTCTTCCCGCCCAATTCTGTGTTTCTTAATAATTTTTTTGTAAAGAAATTTTATCAAGATTTTTGTCAAGTAAAAGCTTCCTTCGCATTCTGTGTCAATATTTATAAAACAAAAAGCTCTACGATATCCACATTAGTGGAACTGATTTCATTGTAACATATGAAAAATATGAATTTAAAAGCAAAAAAGCTTTTGACTGCCGTAGCCGAGTAGGTAGAGATGTCGGCTATAATTCCGTGTGTCGCAGGTTCACTTGCCGGCACATGGAGTATTTAATTGTTAGAAACAAATTTATTAATATACAAAATTTATACATTTCACATGAAATTTCAATTTGTCAATAGCATTTTCAATCTTGATAATTTATCAAAAAAGAGTAGAATACCAATTCTTGATAAATAGTAAAAAATTTACAAATTATAAATATTTTCAATTTATCAAGTGAAAGAATCGGGCTGTTTGTATATTTTTCGAAGTTCCCAAAATAGCACTTACCGCTTTTGGAAACTTAGAATATAAACAAGCGAAGTAAACATTTATTTTGTTAAAATGTTGCCAGCTTATTAAATGTATTTTTATATCTTTTAAATAAAAATGTATTTCAGGAAATATATGTACGTAATGTTTATATTATATGTACTACATTACTTAGTATGCAGTTTTTTATTTTTGAAAATGAGAATTTGGCATCATTGATTTGCTTTCATATCACGATTTGTTACCTACATTTTACCGGGTTTAACATAGTTCAAGTATTGAATTCGCAGCCGCAGTGGTGTAGTGATTAGCAGTGCGTGCTACCATTCCGCAGGGCCTGGTTTCCCGCCCTGGTCAAAGCAACCTCGCAAAATATATAAAGGAAAGGTTTTTTCTTTACAGCGGCCGCCCCTCGGCGGGCAATGGCAAACCTCCGACTGTATGAAAAACAGGTTCTCATAAAAATACAATCGCCTTTTGGAGTCGGCGTAAAACTGTAGCTCCCTTTCCTTCGTGTAACAACATCAAGGCACACGCCACAAATCGGAGGAGAAGCTCAGCCCCACACTAACGATATGTGTAAGCGCCAATCTATTATTATTATTAATTAATATTGAATTCAATTCTGCTAGCTAGTGGAGAGAAGAAAAGGGAAGAATACTCATGCGTCTGTACCGCCAAGAGGTTTCACGGTACTTGCTTTGCCTTGGACATTTTCGTTTTTTCCGATTTAAAGAACTAAAAACTTTAATTCAACAAAAGCGTGTAAAAGCAAATAGAAACCACTAAACAGAATAAACAGGAACTTCTTTAAATAACTTGAATCATGTAAATCGGGCGTAATAAAATTTGTAAAAGCTAGTTTGAATATCTTCTTGGAGCCATACTATGATGCTAGTGATTCTGCGTCGATGGAAGAAACTATTGATAAAAGCTATGGTGAGTCAAATTTTTGAGATTCTTGTATTTCCTTTTGGTGCTTTGAATAGATAAATTAACATGCCGATGTCGGGATACGGTTCGGCTATTTGTACAATGATTTGGGTTCTTGTAACAACCTCTCTGAGGTTGGCAGAACAACTTATATTCGCCACAAGCCATGTTGTCACCCATGTTGGATTGTGTAATCCGCGCTAGTAAACAATAATGCATACATGCTCTGCGGGGAAGAATAGCAAATGGACATTACTGGAGCTTGTGACAGCTCGCGCGCTTTTCTAAGTGAAATCACGTTAGAAACTAGTTGCTCTGTAAAAGCAGCAGCAACAGTAACAACTTTCAGAAAATTATACATACATATATACATATACGCTGCTTCTCAAACAAAATTCCTTAATGGTTGCCCTAAAACTACTGAAGCTCCAACTTTTTGCTCCAAGGTAGTGAAGTGCTATGCCATCAGTCGCCGCAGGAGACGTTAATGAGCGACCATTACGCGGACAATGCGGTTTCTTTGGCGTCGCACATTTTGCGATATCTTTTCAGCGCTAAGTTGGGTTATTTAAAATAGATTTATGTGTACACCGGTCTCCCATCCTGGCATTTAGATGGGGAAATAGATATGTATTTGTGCAACGCATTCAATGCACAAGTCTTGCTCGCAAACACGCATTAAATAAAAAATCTAGCACATTTATCAAAAACATCCACAATTGTTGCTCAATTCTACATCACCTCACTTATTCCACCCATAAATTATACTTGTCTTTCTTCAGCGCATGAGAAAAATTAGGAAAAATTGCGAATTTCCAAAATTGTTTTGCACCCTATTCAAAGGTGAAACGCTTGCTGGCTACCAGAGCGTCTTTTTAAGTGTGAACGCCGATTACCCTTACTCCGCGGCCCTTATATGGCTACTTTAAATACACTTCCTGTGCGGACATTCTGCAGTCGCTTATTCGTCGTTGGGTTCTTATCATTCAATGTGACATCATTATTTTGTATTTTGAGGCAAATAAGTAACCATAACCAACACCACAAAATATATTCGTTGGAAAAGCGTGCAGTTAAGTGTCATTAAAAAATGATCACTCTGTTTTATTTTGTTTTATTACTAGGCACCATTTGTATGAGTGTGTTTCGAAGAGGAACATATGTATTTATGAGTCCATAGATCCTGACACTTGATTTGGGCTGCTGAAATAAATTTTACCCATTTTTTGTGCGCACTGAGTTATATGGAGCTCTATAGTTACTACAAACCGCCCTTACAGCGCACTGCAACGGTTTAAAGCTATGTAAATGTTTGTTTGTAATACCCACAAATTACCGGTTGAACGACATGTAAATGGGATCCAAATGAGCTGTCCCATTATTCGTCTGCGTATCCATTTCGTTACGGTGGACTTTTTGCTGGGACAAAGGCCAAAGGATCATTGGTGTCGCCCGCTGGGGGCAACACTTGTACTTAACGGTCATGTAACATGTACGTAAATACATAAAACTGCTTGGCTATTTATAAAAATACAAATTTAATAAAATAAAGCCGATTCCGAGTAGATAGCGGATTGAACGGAATGAGATAGAAACATATTTACGAGCATTAATATTTTGCATACAATTTAAGATATAGCGCCGCATTGATATTTTTACATACCTTAACACCAATATGAACCGGTGAAAAATCGCTGTGTAGTGCTGAAGACAATATTGGTAATGTCATGGGAAGGGGGCAGGACATCATGTTCGCTACCTGAAAACGAAATTATAAAATATGATTTAAAAAGAGAATCGATAAAATAAAGCATTTTACCTGAAATAAAAAACGAAAAACGTATTGTGGAAAAGCAACAATATTTTAAAAAAATGGTAGAAGTGATAGCTATTTCGGAAATCACCACATTTCCTCATCAGACTTCTTTCAGTAGGATGTTGCTTATTGTTGCTTTTCCACAATAAGTTTTTCATTAAAAACAACCGCCATAAAAATTGTTGAATATAATTGTTATAAGGCTATAAAATAACAAAAACAACATAACTTAAGGACGAGCACACCTAAAAGTTAAACATTTTAATAATAGAAATATTAACAAAAACCAACAAAAACAACATACACATTATCAAGTTTAAATTGCACTGGAACAATGCGGTGACAGGTAATAAGATCAACGGAAATAAGGTCAATTGACTTTATTTCCCACCCACCCGCATACCCCGCGCGACCGACGCGCACACCACGTCACGCTACGCCGCGGCCCCCCCTTCCCCGTCTCCCGTCGTGCTGTAACGCAGGTAGATTTATTTTTTGTATACGTTGAAATAAAATTTTTATATATTTTAAACAACGAGGGCTTATATTCAATAATACCCTCTATCTGCACACTTTTCACAAAGATGAGATTCTGATATAAAAATCCACCTAAGCTTTAACTGTCATCAGTGATATTAATTTTGCCTTAGATAACGACAGGTAATAATTCCCAGATGGTTTCAAAAATCACAAATTAGTTTTTGTGCAAATTACAGATAGAGGGTATTAATGAATTCAAGCCCCCGATATTTCACATTTTTATTTATGTAAGTTATTGGAAGCAGGGATGTCAACTTGGCTCAAACCGTGCCATTTGTCCCTATTTTACTTCAAATGGCACTTAATTTTTCAATGTGACACAAAGTGCCAAAATGGAACTTTTGTAAAAACTAGTAATTTTTAGCAAAAAAAGAACCGACTTCAACTCAAAAAATATATATATATATATATATCTCATGATCCACTGATCGGATCTTAACCAGATTAGTATGGGACCACCTCTGAGACACTACCTTTCCGATGCAAAAAGAAAAATCGGTTGACGTGGTCCAAAGTTATGCGGTAACATACATAAAAAAAAAAAAAAAGATTCCGACGAACTGATAACCTCCTCCTTTTTTGAAAGTCGGTTAAAAAGAACATATCAATACATTTTTGTGAAATCGATTGCGTGCACTTCTTTTTCTCAACTAAAATATTCTAATTTATAGAGGCTATTCAACTGGTATATCTTATTTTATCATTGCACTTTTGTTTTGAAAATGTGGCTTTATTTTATTGCTAAATGTGCATGATTAAAAGGAATGTCACCTTTTTTGACACTTTTATTTTTCTGTTTGGCACATTTTGGCACTTTTTTATCCTCAATATGGCACCTCATAACTAAGGATAGTTGGCAGCCGTGATTGGAAGATTTCTGCTGTGTTTTGGGGCAACAACTTGTCTGCAGTAAAAAAGCATATAATTTGTGATTCATAAGTGTGTGAATGGCTTGAATGTGCCATCTAATAAATAGTGTCGTCGTTCGCCTTGCTTTTAAATGATGTCACAAATTGCTGCCGGAGACATGGGTACAGTGTAAGAAATATGTTTCCTTATAGAAAGGTTGGTTTCTTTTTCACCTTGGACCCTCCGAATTCGTTCAAAATATGCTAATTTAAAACACAGAATTCTTTCAGTCTTCCTCCGGGGTTTTTGGACATGGACTGTTTCTTCAATTTAATAGTGTTCGCTTTATTTTTGTGGAAACGAAACATGTTTTGCAAGTTATGGATCATTTCTACACTCTTTCTTCAAATATTTCTCGTATTCCAGCTGGGCGCAAGCGTTTAGTTTTTCGCATCGTGTTTTTACATATTCGTAATTTAATTTTTTTTAATAAAATCAATTGGTGATAGTTCATGATTGTGTGGATGAATATCACAACACCGAGGATTTAGCATTGACTTTATTTCCATTGACCTTATTACCTGTCACCGAATAATGCGCGTGATTGTAGTTGGCATAACAAATAAAATAGTGGAAAAAATCAACAAGAATTCACAGGGCGAACTTAGCACAGTGCGTAGGCAACTGGCTAAGTCAGTGGGATCGTCGGTTCGAATCCTACTGAAAGAAGTCAAATAAGGAAATGTGGTTATTTCCGAAATAGCTATCACATCTACCATTTTTTCAAATTATTGTTGCTTTTCCACAATAAGTTTTTTATTAAAAACGGCCCCAAGCTCAATAAAAATTGCTGAATGAAATAAAAACATTAATGTAATGGGTTTAACGAAGAAGAAATTATTTCTTATTTGTTTCAAACGCAAAATCGACAGAAGAAGGTAAGGCATGACAGGGGTGGTTGATGACCATTAAGATTAGGATTAAGATTAAGTTAGGATTGAACTTAAGATCAATACTAAAATAACTGGTCGTTATTAAGGAGAATAATACTCATATAATACGCAAAGTTCTTTCTGTTATTAAGTTTCTTATGTGATATTAAGTTATATTTTTAATTTTTCCATTTACAATTGCCTAAAACAAGCAAAAAATAATAATTTGTTAAACAAAAAAACACTACATAAATAAAGGAATAAACTAAGAATCGTGTTTATTTACTCCATAACTAAAAAAAATATGATATTTTTGCTATTGAAGAATAAATAAAAACTACCACTTTTTTGCACTTTGCGAAATAATGCCTTTTTTGCAAATGCATCAAATAATTTTTTCATTTCTTGTTAATGCCATCATTCGTTCGATTTTTAAAAAATGAGATGTCTAATTAAAGGGCTTGCCCTGTAGTAGTGTAATAAAGATATTTTTGTTTAACAGCTGCCACCTGTTTGAAATATATATGTATCGCTATATACTTATATGGAAGTCAGACGAAAGAGGTTTAAGAAGGCCATAGCTTGATTGATTGATAATATTTTGAAGAGATTCGCCACGTGTTTGTAAGGCAAATTTAACTAAATTATACAAAATGTATGTATATAAAATTTTAAAGTATTTAAGGCAAACGAAAGCGTTGCTACATCGTATTTGCTATTTTCTTACAATATGTAAACACATACATTGTCAATGATTGATTTGTTTTAATTACATGCGTTTAATTTTGAAGTTTTAAATTTCAAATAATTTTTTATTCTTGACTTATTTCTTGCTAAATATGTAAAACTTTTTCTTCCGTCAAAAATCAATGATGTTATACATATTTCAGTTGCATAGATCTCTTTCTTAAATTGAATTTGAAGAGGCAACCCTTCTACGTGAAAAAGTAAAGAATTTTCAGTTTCATTTGAATTTTTAACAGTTGGAAAGCCTTTTAAAAAAAAACTTAACTTTTCTCCACATCTATAGGTCAAGCCCTGTAAACTGACACCACACTTTTGCTACAATTAATTACAATTAATTGCAAACTGGATTTACCGTGAAAGTACAAATGTTATAAAAAAAAAGAAAATACATTATTGAATTCAGCGGCCTAAGTTCACTAAGAAATAAATTCTCATTAAATCCGTAAATAATTATTTTTTACCCATATTTTATACATGTGTATGTATGTAAGGGCTTGGTCTTTAGATGAGTAATAGGGTTTAATTTTTGTCTAAGCATTGGGTGGCAGACGAAAGAGAAAAAAATTTAGGAGCTCTTTGAGGTATAGGTATTTTTACATTTCTTTTATTAGCTCGGGATGTAATTATGTAATATTGATGCGCCTAAAAGATGCAGCGATTTCTGTTCTCCAGTTACATACCTGATGACAGTACGAATGGAAATTATAATAGCGAGGTTTTAGTCTTTTAAACTATAATTTTATTGTTATTTTAACTCTTCAAACGATCATTTAAAGTTCCTTTGAAAAGTTCATTAATCACACTCGTCCATTTGGCGCCGCCGTGCTAGCAGAGAATGTACAAGGTCAGCCGTAAATATGACCCACATATATTATAACGAATTCGCCTCGAATTCGAGACGAGCACATTTTCTCTGATAGAACTATCGAGACGATACTTCGCGGCGATACATCGGCGAATTCGTATTCGTAGGACAGTCACCTATCGTTAGCGAATCGAGTATTACTAGTTTTTCGAATCGTTGGCGATTCGAGACATTTTTTTCTTCGAATTGCTGGCAATTCGAGAATATTTAATTTTTCTAATCGTTGGAGATTCTATAATTTTTATTTTTCGAATCGTTGGCGTTTCGAGAATTATTGATTTTTCCACTCGAGATTTCAGCTCGCTGGTGGTTTGAGATTGTAATTTTTTTTACCAAAGTTTTATAAAAAATGTGCGAAAATTGTAAGTTGTTGATCAATTTATTATAAATGTGAATCCGTATTTAATTTTTAACAACATATGTAAACAGTAATCTTTGTCATACATATTAGATTTGTTCGGCACCGAGTTTCTTGTAATTCGATTTTTTCTTTAGTCGGTCTGCGCTATATTGGAAGAATTTCTTGGATGACTTCATCCACTAAATTTATTTAAATATCTATCTTTGAATGTTAATTAAAATGCAGCTGAAATATTTATTCAATAAACGTTAATAAACAATACTCGCCTCAAATTCGAAACTAGCCCAGAAAATATATTCGAGAAATTTATTTTCTGGAGTTCGTCTCGAATTCGATACGATGCCACGCTCGTTTTTGTGTTGGGTCAGTCAAGAATTATACATATGTATGTGCAAATTGTTTTTCCTTATTTTTTCATGTTAAACAGAAAAATGCGTGGTAAAAACTTAAACATATACTTAGAAGCTATTTTTTTTAATAAATTTATAGTCTAACGACATATCCAAAAGTTAGCTGCCGAAAAATGTATATGTAATTGTGCCTCTGTTTCAAGTAAAAGTTCCCAATAAATAATAGGCACGGATTTGATACTTAGGTTTAAGAAATAAATTGCTAATTGTTCTGGCATATTTTTTTTAGCTTCACTTAT